TCAATACAAGAGAATATTTTTCTAGTGTTTCATCCTGTTTTTGGTCTCGTTGATAAAATTTCTGGAGAAGTTGAGTAGTGGTTTCTTTGATTTCGAACACAGCCTCCAAGATATCGAGAATTTGTTTTCCTGTTTTTCTCTCTGTGTGAGGTCGAAGTTTCACTTCTGATTTTGCGGATCCAGTTAAATGGTCCATGATGAAATCTACGAAATTGTCTTTGGACTGTGTAGACTGTATATGTTCCCTCATGTCGGAAATCCACTCGTAAACATCTGGGTCTCCATCCTTACACATGTAACTGGTCGACCTTCAAACTTAGGAAATTTTCGTTCGGACTTGACATACACTAAAGGTGTTGGTTTTTCTTTCGACTCGGTAGCTTTCAGTGAAGAAACTTTTCCTTGTAAATTTTTAATTTCTTGTTGCATGGCCGCATTTTCCTGCCTGTCTTGATTTTCTCTCGTCTCCAAAATCTTAATTTTGTCCAACAATCCTTAGACGAGCTGTTCCATGCTGATGCACACTGTCGTCAATCACAAGAATCACAATCACAAGAATCCTGTCCACGACGCCATTTGTAACACAAGAGAAATATTCTTGTATGTAGTTCTTTTATTCTTGGTTATAGTTATGGTTATGCTTATGATGACAGTGGTACTAAAATAAACAATACACAATTGAAAATAATAGTCAAAAAAATAAATGTAAACAAGTACAATATAAACTCTTGACATTTCAATATTAGAAAAAGTAATGTTCATTTCAATAAGAAATATTTATGACAGTCAGACTTCTATTACACTTTATCATACAGCATATAATCTAAGCAAGAAATAAATATGCAGTATATATAATAAGTAATACAAAATGTACACAGTTCACAAACCTAAGTAAGGAATACAGTATGGCCGCTTCCGGTCACTGTGACGTCATCACACAAGGACTGTCCACTATAAATACAATCAGGTCTTACTACTCAATTCATACAAACTATACTTACATGTACTTGACAAGGAACCACTTTTATAATAAAAAGGTTTTGCATTGAATAATCTTTTAAAATCATATATCATCAGGGCATCTATTATTTTTAACCTATAAACATACTTATAAACAAATGACTAGATGGTAACATCACGACATAATTTCTGACTAGTAATAAACAACTTTCAATCGGGAAATTACACCGTTGCATATTTCACAAAATATAAAATAATTATTCACTTGTGACAAAAGTACCTAGTCTAATATGAATGCAAGACAAAAATATCATTACTCACATATATCAGACAAAAAGGCGTTTAGTAACACGGCTGACACACGTCTTCACTGGTCAACATCTACTGTGAAAATACCGCCAAAAGATGGCCTACTGTACATTCGGTAAATTGACCAATCAATGGACAGATTCACAAGTGTAAAAAATGAATTATAAAAATTACTTACAGCCAAATACTATCGTTATTTCAGTTATTCAAAAAGGATTTAAACATAAAAATAATTTTCCTTTTCATAATTGTAAACTTTATAAAAATTTCAATCTGAATCTTGAACCCGATGCAAAATATACTTCGCCCTCTTACACATTTCCCCCCTTTGTCATTGCTTTCCACAGCAATGAAAAGGTTTAAAAAAAAAAAAATTCTATCACAACATTTAGGCATATACACAATTAAATACAATCAAATGAAATAACATAATTACATCTGATTTTGTCTTGCCCACGAATCACTTAAAGTAGCACTTAATGTAGCACCAAGATTCACAATCGCATCACTTAGTTCTTTAAAATTTGTCGGTTCGGCGGAAATTTGATTGCACGGTAGGGTACTTTTAGGTAAGTTGAATGGGTTGGAATGTTTCCCTGCCGTCGTTCTCTTACTTCGTCAAGGTTGTGTCACTTCTACCGTCTCTTCTTCCGCAGGAATATACTCAGGAAACGTTGTCATGGCGCTCACTGTCCGCATCTGAAAGTCTGTAATCTCTGAATTCAACTGAGTCGGTAGACGGCTATTTAACATCTCTAATGATGTACTCTGAGTGATCCTATCTAAGGAAACTTTCACTTCTTTTTCTTCCAGTGAAGTAGGTCTACGGCTTAACGCATCCGCGTTGCGATTCACCTTACCAGAGCGGTATTTCACTGTAAAATCAAACTGAGTTAGCTCTCCTATCCATCTCATCGTTGTTGCGTCTACTCGTTGCTTTGGTTTGTTGATGTAACTAAGCGGGTTATTGTCAGTGTAAATGATAAACTTCGATCCAAGGAGGTAATCACGAAATTTTTCACTAACTGACCACTTGAGTGCCAGAAGTTCAAGCTTCATAGAACTGTATCTTTCCATATTCTTCTCTGATTTCCGCAGTGATCTTGATGCGCAGGCTATCACAATCTTTCCATTAGGTCTCTCTTGAGATAAAACTGCTCCGAGTCCTTCAAAACTGTGAGAACCCATTTTTACGATTTGGGCATTCTGAGGGAAAATATTCAAGTCCGTTACAGGAATCACAAACAATCTGATCTTGTCTTCCGATTCCTCGGCCACGTCCTCTGAACGGTACGGGTCTATAACCCCTCCGAGGTGAATCAGACTGTCGAGACTTTTGTACTGTTTGTGTAAGCGTATCAATCTGTTGTTGTTGTTTCTCTAACATCTCTTGTTGTTTCTTAACTAAAGTCATTAATTCACTCAGTTCTGTATTTGGAGTAGGTACACATGATGTTTTCTTCACACTGAGATTCACACCAGGGTTGTCTTCTATCCATCATAACATTTTAAGTCTGAATTCAAAAAATGGTACGTTGCCAGAGTCTAACACAACTTTTCTCAGTTCTTGTCGGGTGTTCTGATCTCTGATTCCATCAACAAATCTCTCAGTAAGCTTAACATCAGTCACTTGCTCTTTCATTCCTTTCTTGTTGATTTTCTGTGCCATCTCCATTAATACAAGAGAATATTTTTCTAATGTTTCATCCTGTTTTTGGTCTCGTTGATAAAATTTCTGGAGAAGTTGAGTAGTGGTTTCTTTGATTTCAAACACAGCCTCCAAGATATCGAGAATTTGTTTTCCTGTTTTTCTCTCTGTGTGAGGTCGAAGTTTCACTTCTGATTTTGCGGATCCAGTTAAATGGTCCATGATGAAATCTACGAAATCGTCTTTGGACTGTGTAGACTGTATATGTTCCCTCATGTCGGAAATCCACTCGTAAACATCTGGGTCTCCATCCTTACACATGTAACTGGTCGACCTCCAAACTTAGGAAATTTTCGTTCGGACTTGACATACACTAAAGGTGTTGGTTTTTCTTTCGACTCGGTAGCTTTCAGTGAAGAAACTTTTCCTTGTAAATTTTTAATTTCTTGTTGCATGGCCGCATTTTCCTGCCTGTCTTGATTTTCTCTCGTCTCCAAAATCTTAATTTTGTCCAACAATCCTTGGACGAGCTGTTCCATGCTGATGCACACTGTCGTCAATCACAAGAATCACAATCACAAGAGTCCTGTCCACCATACTTGTGTAACGTGGAATGAGCCAGGCTTTCCTTTTCAAATCAAAACAAGAATTTCTTCAAAGAAAACAAGAATTTATTTACACAAAAAAATAGAAATAAAGAAAAGACAATTAACAAATAAATCACGCAATCACACACACACACACACACACACACACTCACTCAAATGATCGTAACCAAAAAAAAAAATGTTATTTACAATGATAAAAAAAAATGATCAAAAGATGTTTAAACAACTGTATCAACTATCAACACGTGTTCTCAAAAACTCAAACCAATTTAGAACTCAATTTCAATCATTACTAGTATTGTCCATCCATACGACAGTCTCAATCAAGTCCAACACTGTCCTTAAACCTCCCAAGCCTCCGGGGCTGTAGTCCCAGACTGTGGTTGGGATCAATGTTCACAAGTACTGGATACTTTGACAACAATTCCCGCGACTAAGTCGTAGACATCATCATCGACATCGTCTTCATCAAGATCATTGTCATCATCGTCATCGACACCATCATCAACATCACCGACATCATCGTCGTCATCATCAGATCATCGACATCATCGTCGTCATCATGACATCAGTTACCACGAACACCTCAGCATGGTGCTAAAATATTAACTTTCCTTTATCAGTAAAATAATTATGTACTCTACTTATGGCAATACTATAATATAATTATACTGGCTTTAATTAATAACCATATAATTATCTTGAGTTCAATATAACATAACACTTAAATGCTTTCAATATCTTCAGTTTGTTTACAGTTGACATAGATACAAAATGGCTGACAACACTTCCGGTAGCTTACTTCCGCTCAGACATTTAAATGAAAAAGTAATACAGCGAACAAAAATACAATAAAATACAGAAACAGGCTGTTCTTTAAATGTATAGAATTACACTAACAGCGATAAAACTTCTGACGAGAAAACCTATTCAAACACTCTCGCTAACGTCACACCTGAACGCACACACAGGTAAGTCATTGATGACTGCCTGCCAAGGTGAATTAATGTAACGAATTTTAAAAGTACATTTAACATAACTAAAAAGTACTTGCAAAATATACTTACCACGGTCTGTTTTCCGTGCAGAAATATACTAAAATGTTGCAGTAGACTTGCTGTAAGTCATAGGCACAAGCTGGTGCAAAACTTAACCAATCTGTCCTGACCCTTTACATCGTGTCTTACACGGTGGACAGTTCTGCCGGGAATACCTAGCTATTGTTACCTGTCCTGTCGGCCAGAATTCTGCAAGGAATTCTGGGTGCTTGACCAAAGAGGTGCTCGAAGGGCGAAACTTTATACAAAACAAGGGGTACCCTATAGGTTATATTAGTGATTGTTACACACCTCCCTCCTATAAGAAAATTGTCGTACAATTTTTCTAGAACAATCACTATAAGACAAACATTTGAAAATTCTGAACGTATTTACAGTAATCTATATACATACCTTGAATTGTCTACTACTTGTCATCTACTGCCGACTTAGATAGTCTGCTCCCACGTTCTCACTTCCCTTTATTGCTACGATTCTGAAATGGTATGGCTGTAGCTGTAATGCCCAACGCATCAATCTTGAATTTTCTGTCTTTGCCTTGTTCATGTACATCAAAGGTTGATGGTCGGTTTCTAGCACAAAGTCTTTTCCATACAAATACTGATGAAATTTCTGGATTCCCCAGACCACTGCCAAACACTCTTTTTCAATAACGGCGTACGACTTCTCCCTCTTCTGTAGTTTTCTGCTAGCGTATGCCACGGGGAATTTTTCATCACCTTCCATCTGAAGTAAGACTGCGCCTATTCCCTCGTCTGCAGCATCAGTACGTAGAATAAACGGTTTCTGCATGTCAGGTAGCTTCAGAATAGGTCTGGAACATAACAACTGTTTCAAAGAATCGAACGCTCCTTGATGGCATTCTGTCCATTGAACTCTATTTGGATTACCTTTCTTTGTAAGGTCAGACAATGGTATGGCTATTGCTGAAAAGTTAGGAATAAACTTCCTGTAAAATCCGACTAAGCCTAGAAAAGAACGAACTTGTTTTTTCGTCTCTGGTATTGGAGCATTCTTGATTGCTTCAATCTTGTCGTCTTCTGGCTTCAAACGTTGATCATTTACGAGATAGCCCAAACAATCAATCTGCTCAAATCCAATGAAACATTTGGTAGGTCTTGCTGTAAGGCCTGCATCCCTCAGTCGAGTGAACAATATTTTCAGCGTGCTTAGATGTTCCGCAAATGTATCAGTAAACACCATGATGTCATCTATGAAGTTTTCTACATTTTCCATGCCATGAAGAAGATTGCGCATCAATCTACTGAAAGTCGCTGGGGCGTTTACTAACCCAAATGGCATCTTTCTGAATTGGTACAATCCAGCGGGTGTAGAAAATGCAGTCAATGGTTTGCTATCCTCTTCCATTTGTACCTGCCAATATCCTTTGCTCAGGTCAATTTTAGAGATAAACTTCTTTCCTGTTAGTTTGGAAAATATGCTGTCTGGATTAGGCATTGGCTCAGCATCGAAAACTGTGACGCTGTTAAGCTTTCTGAAGTCAATGCAAAATCGATTTGTCCCGTCTTTTTTCCTTGCAATCACGACTGGTGCAGAATAGGGGGAAGTAGAATGTTCAATGACTTTCATCTGTAGCATCTTCTCTACTTCTTCTCGGATTACATTTTCTGTGTTGAATGGGATAGAATACGGTTTTACCCTCACTGGCTCCTTCGACGTCAATTCTATCTTATGCTTCACCAAGTTTGTAGTTCCAGGAATGTCTGTGAAAACTTCACTAAATTGTTCACACAAAGATTTAACAGTTTGTTTCTGTTCTGGCGTAAAACGTTCGGCAAAATGAATGTCTTTCACTGATTCAGTCTGAACACTTGAAGGTAACAAAATTGAATCCTGTGTTTCATTGCTGTCTTCATCACTGAAGTCTATCAGAGAAACTGCGCATGCTGATAAAGCTTCCACTTTCGGTTCATCTCTCTCGACATACTTTTTCAGCAAATTTGCATGGTACGTTTTCGTCTTGCCTCCCAAGTCAACCGTGTAGTCCATAGGTCCTATCTTTCTTGTGATACTGTAAGGTCCCTTCCACTGCATGAGAAGTTTATTCGATTTAGTCGGGAGCAGGACTAACACTCTATCTCCTTCTTTCATCTGCCGATTACTTGTCTTCTTGTTATAATATTTTCTCTGACGTTTCCTTGCATTTTCAAGATGTTCATGGGCGATCTTGCACGTTTCTTCAAGTCTTTGTCTTAAATCAAGAACATACTGATATGTTGTTTTGACTTCTTCATCTGGGATCTCTTTGGTCAATAACTCCTTCAGAATCATCATTGGTCCTCGAACAGAATGTGCATACAAAAGATCAAATGGAGAAAACCCAAGACTCTCTTGCGGTACTTCACGATATGCGAACAGTAATGGATTCAGATATTTATCCCAGTCCCTGGGTCTTTCTGCGCACATCCTCTTGAGCATCTGTTTTAGTGTTCCATTAAACTTCTCCACGAGCCCATTGCACATTGGATGGTATGGGGTAGTCGTTATTCGCTTGAAAGACAAAAGTCGACTCACTTCCTTCATCACATCGGATGTAAACTGAGTCCCTTGATCCGATAGCATCTCAGTAGGAACGCCCACTCTACTAAAGATGTCAACCAGTGCTTCTGCTACACGCTCAGTTTCTATTCCGGGAAGTGCGATCGCCTCCGGATATCGAGTTGCATAATCAACCACTGTAAGAATGTATCGATTACCCTTATCAGTAATCGGTTGGAGGGGTCCTACGATATCAACTGCCACTCGTTGAAACGGAACTGTGATAAGTGGCATGTGTCCTAGCGGCACTGCAGGAACTTTGCCTTTGGATATAGTTCTTTGACACACATCACACGATTTACAGAATCTCCTGATATCTGCTTGGATCCCTGGCCAGTAAAATTCTGCCATGATTCTGTCTGTTGTTTTCCTCACTCCCAGATGTCCTGCCATTATCGATTCATGTGCCAGCTTCATTACCATGTCTCGATACTGTTTTGGTATGATGAGTTGTCGAAAAACTTTTCCATTAGAAACTCTTGGACTGCTGAACTCTCTGTATAACAGTTGTTTTCTGAAGTAAATTTTTGAAGAACCTCCATCACTGAATTGCTTCACTATTCCCTTTTCCGCCGTGTCCCTCAGTTTTTTCAGTGTCTTATCGTCCCTTTGTTCCTTTTGTAAGTCCTCGGGTGATACATCCTGTATGGCACTTGGTACTTTCAAAGGTTTGTATGTCGACTGTTTCTTTTTTAGCTGACCACGAGTTTCAACTGCTGATGTGCCTCCTGGTGAATGTATCCATGCCATATTTGGTTCATGGGGTTTCCTAACTCCTTGAATATTTCCAAGAATAAGATCATATGATGGACAGTCAAAACACCAAGCGTCAACATTTCCTGTAAAGTACGGCGTATCCACTTGAACTGCTGCGACCTCGGCTTCTATCACACTTCCATCAGCTAACTTGCACTTTTGTGTTTTGCCTGTAAGTTGGTCCTTTTCTACCAAGTCCTTCCTTATCACAACACCACTACATCCAGTATCTCGTAGTACAGTTACCAATTTGTCACCCACACAACCTTTCACAACTGGCATCACCATTTCACTAATTGCTACTGAGTCACCAACACAAGGTAATGTTTCCTCTCTGTGCACAGCAGATGTATCTTGGCGTCCTCTACCACGTCCAGAGTATCCAAAATTGCGTCCACGAAAGCTGTTGAAAGTACCACTCTTCGGATCATTGAACTGATATTGTTTTGGAACAGTCTCTTGTTTCTCAGTAGCACTAGATACCTTGTTAGATGAAAACTTCCGATGAACACAGTCAAAGGATTTATGTCCGACTTTCCCACATATGTAACACTTTGCTCCTGAATTGGATTTCGTTTGAGCCACTCTGTCCATAGAATGAAATTGTTTATCAGGTTGAAGTTTCCTGTCGAATGAGGGTCTTTGTGTAATGGACGAAGATGTAATGTTTCTGGCCTCTGCAAACTGATCCGCGTAATGCGCCATCTCCTGAATGCTTGGAGGAATTCTCTCTTTCAAGAATAAAGCCAGCTCCTTCGAACAACACAATGTAAATTGTTCCCTTAAGAATAAATCCTTAAGTCCTTCATATGTTTTTGTTGTCTTTGAAAGTTCAATCCATCGTTCAAGGTAACTGTCCAATCTCACAGAGAATTGCATAAAAGTTTCACTTCCGTCCGGCTTTGATGATCTAAACTTCTTGCGAAATCCATCTTCCGTCATATCAAAACGTTTAAGAAGAGCCTTTTTCAGTTCATCGAAATCTAAAGCAGATTCTGGAGGAAGTCTTGAAAACACATCCAGAGCTTTTCCTTTGAGTAAGGCACTAAGATGAGCTCCCCAGTTATCCCTACGCCATTTCTGTGATGTCGCATAAATCTCAAAACGTTGGATGTAAGCGTCAATATTATCCTTCGAATCGTCGAACGCAGGAAGTTGGTGATCTAAACTTCTTGCGAAATCCATCTTCCGTCATATCAAAACGTTTAAGAAGAGCCTTTTTCAGTTCATCGAAATCTAAAGCAGATTCTGGAGGAAGTCTTGAAAACACATCCAGAGCTTTTCCTTTGAGTAAGGCACTAAGATGAGCTCCCCAGTTATCCCTACGCCATTTCTGTGATGTCGCATAAATCTCAAAACGTTGGATGTAAGCGTCAATATTATCCTCGAATCGTGAAGTTGGTGATCTAAACTTCTTCGAAATCCATCTTCCGTCATATCAAAACGGAAGAGCCTTTTTCAGTCCGAAATCTAAAGCAGATTCTGGAGGAAGTCTTAAAAACACATCCAGAGCTTTTCCTTTGAGTAAGGCACTAAGATGTCCCCAGTTATCCCTACGCCATTTCTGTGATGTCGCATAAATCTCAAAACGTTGGATGTAAGCGTCAATATTATCCTTGATCGAACGCAGGATGATCTAAACTTCTTGCGAAATCCATCTTCCGTCATATCAAAACGTTTAAGAAGAGCCTTTTTCAGTTCATCGAAATCTAAAGCAGATTCTGGAGGAAGTCTTGAAAACACATCCAGAGCTTTTCCTTTGAGTAAGGCACTAAGATGAGCTCCCCAGTTATCCCTACGCCATTTCTGTGATGTCGCATAAATCTCAAAACGTTGGATGTAAGCGTCAATATTATCCTTCGAATCGTCGAACGCAGGAAGTTTTGGTCCTTTTATTGGTTGTTGCATTTCCGTGCCGTGTGAAGATGAATCCAACACTTTGTGAGACCTTTCAGCTGCTAGTAGTTGGAATTTATGATCAATTTCCATTTCTTCCATCTTGCGTTTGTGTTCGGAATAAGCAAAATGTTCTTTGCTCGCTTCCATCTGAAGAATGTGTTCACGTTCCTCACGCTCTCTTTCTGTACGTTCTTTTTCCAGCTGCAACTGATGTTCACGTTCCTCCTTCGACTTTCTTTCTTCTCTTTGTCTTTCTCGTTCATCACGAAGTCTAGATTGTTCCTCCTTCACAAAATTTTGTAGAGCCTCATCCTTGAATCCCATTTGAGTACCAAGCTCCAGCAACTCCTGCATTTCCTTCACAGTAGACATGATGGATGACTAAACTGAACCACCTTACCAATTTTAAGTCCAAAGGAATAATAGTCTCACTATATATATTTATCAAAGATCTTACTCAGCTAGCTTACCTTAACTTAAGTATCATAAGGGAGAGCCATAACTTCACTCACCAAAGCTGATCTGCATGTTGCCCTTGGATTAACTACTCAACTCTTAACCAACGCTAACTATAACGAAAAATATAAATCAAAAAATTAATCCTGGCAAACCTTCACCATAGAAGAATTCTAGTTTGATTTAAAAAGAGAGTCTGTCATCCCACCGCTGCCACCAAATTTGTAACGTGGAATGAGCCAGGCTTTCCTTTTCAAATCAAAACAAGAATTTCTTCAAAGAAAACAAGAATTTATTTACACAAAAAAAAAGAAATAAAGAAAAGACAATTAACAAATAAATCACGCAATCACACACACACACACACACACTCACTCAAATGATCGTAACCAAAAAAAAAATGTTATTTACAATGATAAAAAAAAATGATCAAAAGATGTTTAAACAGCTGTATCAACTATCAACACGTGTTCTCAAAAACTCAAACCAATTTAGAACTCAATTTCAATCATTACTAGTATTGTCCATCCATACGACAGTCTCAATCAAGTCCAACACTGTCCTTAAACCTCCCAAGCCTCCGGGGCTGTAGTCCCAGACTGTGGTTGGGATCAATGTTCACAAGTACTGGAGATTCCCGCGACTAAGTCGTAGACATCATCATCGACATCGTCTTCATCAAGATCATTGTCATCATCGTCATCGACACCATCATCAACATCACCGACATCATCGTCGTCATCATGACATCAGTTACCACGAACACCTCAGCATGGTGCTAAAATATTAACTTTCCTTTATCAGTAAAATAATTATGTACTCTACATATGGCAATACTATAATATAATTATACTGGCTTCAATTAATAACCATATAATTATCTTGAGTTCAATATAACATAACACTTAAATGCTTTCAATATCTTCAGTTTGTTTACAGTTGACATAGATACAAAATGGCTGACAACACTTCCGGTAGCTTACTTCCGCTCAGACATTTAAATGAAAAAGTAATACAGCGAACAAAAATACAATAAAATACAGAAACAGGCTGTTCTTTAAATGTATAGAATTACACTAACAGCGATAAAACTATTGACGAGAAAACCTATTCAAACACTCTCGCTAACGTCACACCTGAACGCGCACACAGGTAAGTCATTGATGACTGCCTGCCAAGGTGAATTAATGTAACGAATTTTAAAAGTACATTTAACATAACTAAAAAGTACTTGCAAAATATACTTACCACGGTCTGTTTTCCGTGCAGAAATATACTAAAATGTTGCAGTAGACTTGCTGTAAGTCATAGGCACAAGCTGGTGCAAAACTTAACCAATCTGTCCTGACCCTTTACATCGTGTCTTACACGGTGGACAGTTCTGCCGGGAATACCTAGCTATTGTTACCTGTCCTGTCGGCCAGAATTCTGCAAGGAATTCTGGGTGCTTGACCAAAGAGGTGCTCGAAGGGCGAAACTTTATACAAAACAAGGGGTACCCTATAGGTTATATTAGTGATTGTTACAATGCTTATCACCCGATTTTTGCCAAACAACCCGAAAATCTCCCGATTTCCGGATTTGGTTCGTGAATTAGGTTGCACTTTTAACTTCCAGTTAAAACCCAAGCTTAGATCTACGCGTAAACAATGCCGATGGATTAATTATCAGTGCAGGTGTAAACAATTAACTGGGTGTTGTTTTGACAATTCAATGTTTGAAGTCAATTAAAATGGCTTCCGATAGAACTAGATCGTTATCAGGGCCAACAGGAACAAATTGAACCAAACACATGTCTCTGATTGAACCAAGAAAAAGAGAAACGATATTTATGTACATATCTAGGAATCTTGGGGGAAAAAACTTTCATTCTAGATAAAATAAAGAGATCGAAGACAGTGTAGGCCTAACTTCACATTGAAAACATATTACAGTAGTTAATTAGTTAAGAGAGAGGAAAAAAATAACTTCAAAACTGAAATTGGTATATTTCAAATTTAGCAGAAACTGAAACATGTGAAAAGGCTTTAAAAAAAAAAAATGCACACTTATATACTTCTGAATCAGGTCAATATTGAAATATGAAACCTTCAATTCTCATTTTTAACATGTAATTTAAATCAAATTATATATGAATTTTTTTGTCATAGTAAATTAAATCCTTTTTCAATAAAAGAATTCTCAATACACAAATACTTTGTATATATATTATAAAATTTAATCATGGTAATTATGTCGTGAATGTCGTTACCCGTTATGACCAGATTTTTTACTTTCCAAATCTGGTCATGACCAGATTTTTACATGCTGGAGGTTGGCAAGTATGCTGTCCACGACGCCATTTGTAACACAAGAGAATAATGTTCTCGTAGTTCTTTTATTCTTGATTTGAATGAGTATTCAAAAATTATGATGATTATGATGACAGTGGTCCTAAAATAAACAATACACAATTGAAAATGAAAAGGTTGAAAAAATAAATGTAAACAAGTACAATATCACCTCTTGACATTTCAATATTAGGAAAAAAGTAATGTTCACTTCATTAAGAAATATTTATGACAGTCAGACTTCTATTACACTTTATCATACATGCAGCATATAATCTAAGCAAGAAATAAATATGCAGTATATATAATAAGTAATAAAAAATGTACACAGTTCACAAACCTAAGTAAGGAATACAGTATGGCCGCTTCCGGTCACTGTGACGTCATCACTCAAGGACTGTCCACTATAAATACAGTCAGGTCTTACTACTCAATTCATACAAACTATACTTACATGTACTTGACAAGGAACCACTTTTATAATAAAAAGGTTTTGCATTGAATAATCTTTTAAAATCATATATCATTAGGGCATCTATTATTTTTAACCTATAAACATACTTATAAACAAATGACTAGATGGTAACATCACGACATCATTTCTGACTAGTAATAAACAACTTTCAATCGGGAAATTACACCGTTGCATATTTCACAAAATATAAAATAATCATTCACTTGTGACAAAAGTACCTAGTCTAATATGAATGCAAGACAAAAATATCATTACTCACATATATCAGACAAAAAGGCGTTTAGTAACACGGCTGACACACGTCTTCACTGGTCAACATCTACTGTGAAAATACCGCCAAAAGATGGCCTACTGTACATTCGATAAATTGACCAATTAATGGACAGATTCACAAGTGTAAAAAATGAATTATAAAAATTACTTACAGCCAAATACTATCGTTATTTCAGTTATTCAAAAAGGATTTAAGCATAAAAATAATTTTCCTTTTCATAATTACCGGCCGCCAGGAGGCGGTCGGTTAGTTGATATGAAAGTTTTAAGTTGCCATGCGTTTCTGCGGAGTTAGAATAATTTGAATAAAAATATTTAATAACATTCATATTATAGAATATTAAACAAAGATATTCTAAATGTTTAACAAAAAGCACAATAATCATAAAATAAAATTTTTATAAATAATTTGGTGAATATTTCATCCAATCCTGATTGACAAACAGTGACATTTCTAAAGTGCGGAGAAAATTAGCACGAAGCGTCTTATGTAGGCATAGTCTAAAACAAAGACCATGTTGTATATCAACAATTTTACTTTCTCTTTTTAAACAGCTTAGACAGGATATGTTGTACTTATTTTAAAATGCCGTGTATATTTATACATTTCCTATGGAAGTTTTTCAAAAATTTGATGAAATATTGATTTGTTAAAAGCACGGAATCGTACGACAATTTTGTCCATTAGGCTAGGATGAAGCGCGTTTTTATTACAATGTGCCAAGCATTTTCCCGCCACATCTCAACACTGAAGAGAAGAAATATAGTGGTGGATCTAGATCGATTTGGGGGGTTGTTAACATCCTCTAAGAGAGTCCCACATATTTCATATTTGTTCCGTTTAAATTAAAGTAAAACTATAGCTAAGTTTCAAATTTGGTTTTGTATTTTTTTGTAATAATTACTTAAACATCAAACTTCCACCAGAGTTCATTTGTATGAAACTGCGTGCAGAGACGCAGAGGTCTATGGGCAGTTTGCTTATACATATAATATTGTACATGCATTATGCATGAAGAAAATCGGCAATGTCGCATGCAAGTATTTCATGTCACGAGGTTATTTTAACGGGTGCAAGATGTTTCGGGACCCCGACGTTTCGGGACCTAGGTACACGACGATTCGGGACTAGCGATAAGACGGTTCGGGACTTGCGGCAAGACGTTTCGGGACTTGGGTTAAATTTTTCGGGATTTCGATAAATACTGAAATAAATAACATATTTAGCTAAAATTATTTATTTATTTTATTAATGTATCATTAGATAAATATATGGACAGACATTAAACTTTATAAAATATTTTTTTTATAATTTAATCGCCATAGATACCTTTTCTCTTTAATAAAAAGAAATTTTTTCGGGATCTCAACAAATTATTTTATTATGGTGATATAGCATATTATTCTAAGTACACAGAGTATGTAATATTTAATTTTTATGTATATATAAAATAAAAATTTTCATAAAGATATACTTTGATGGTTTTTTTTTTCATAATAGACGAATAAGAATATGAATATATAAATCTTTACAATATTTGTATTGATTTCTTTTTATTTCTTATCAATTTTTTCTTAATTAGTTATTTTTTCTTGTGTGTGTAGTAGGGGGGGGGGGGTCCAAAATTTAAACTTCTCAGGTTGATGATATATATTTTAAAATATTCAAGTGATCTCCAGCTACCGTCGAATATATCTTTAAAAATATGTCAGTGAATTGTTAAAACAACAACTAGGACCAGGTACACATATCCCATAGGGAAGTGTTACGTACATGTATAAAGACGCCGCCGGTAATGGGGACTGAAAAGATTGTGTGGTTTCTATTGAAATTATTTTAAGAAAATAAAAATCTAAAAATATGCAAAAAAATATCGTTTGTTTATTGGTAAATGAAATAATTACAAATCAAACAATATTTATATATATATATATAATATTTATATTTATATAATAGTAATAATTTTCCATTCTTCAAAATTTCAACAAAATATAAAGGTTTTCAAAATGTTTTGATCTCGATTTTGTCAATTTTTCCACAAAGGCTTTCAAATATTTTCTTTTCAAAAAGTTTTAGCATAGTATCTATTGTAAGATTCCTCCCTGGAAATGTTACGAAAACATTTTTAAAGTTTCCAAAACATTGTAAATAAACATATTTTACAAATGTTGCGAGAATATTTTCCCTACATGTAGATTTTTAAAAAATACCATACTTTTAAAAAAAGAATATTAAATGGCATAAACAACATGATTTCATTTGATATCGTTTGAAATAATGTCTTTAAAAATATTCTAAATTTTATCATAGCTTTATCTATTTAATGTGGCTAGGTGGAAATTTAATAAAAAATAAAATTTAAGTTGACCTGTTAACGTAGTCATTTTTTTTTTAAATCTGGAATGTCTTTTAAACACTTTTACAACGTACATGTAAAATGAAAAATTTAATATTTGCAAATTAAATAATATTTAGTATTTATTTACTGTATCATTTAAACAGTGTGTCTTGTACCTAATTATGTAACATCACATAATATTACGCACTGGTCGGGTATATACGAAGATCGATAATTAAGTTTCATTGAGATTTGTAGTCTGTGTATACACAGTAAACATAACAACTACCCGTAAAACGTAAAGTTTTTACTGCACATGTGCTAGCTTAAGCCTTTGTTAATTCTGTAAACAAATATGAAATCAAACACTTAAAATTGTTATTAAAATGGAGAGAAAGAAAGTCTTGGAAGTAAAAACACGTCCGTGGTCTTCGCACAGCAGTTACGACTGTCTCCCGGTTTTAATTCTGCAAACTCTCGTATCAAACACTATAAATAAATCAATACATAGCCTAATTCTAAAATATATTTTTTGAATTAAATTTGGCGAACCAAATACTTTATAAAGGTAATATATTACGTATATCAAATGCTGTAATAAGAAATGTAGAGACAACATTGCGGGCGGTTGATTTTCTCGGCAGGCGTGCTCCATGCCGCATGCAAACTAATATTCCAATCTGTGCTTCTTAATTAAATGATAAATTGTGTATAAAACTGAGAAATTATACATATATAAACATAAAAACAAAAGTAAACAAGTTTTATTTCATTTCCTTAACAAAATATATAGAAGTCCCGAAACGTGTTAACCCAAGTCCCGAAACGTGTTATCAGGTCCCGAAACGTCGGGGTCCCGAAACGTCGCGGTCCCGAAACATCCAGACTTCATTTTAACAGATAAATGTAAGAAATTTTAAAAACAGATCACGCAAATTTCAGTTTCTATAATTACCTTATCAAAGGAAGAATTAATTGGTTTGCGGCCGATTTTTGACGCTTGCGTCAATATGTTTCTTGTTTGTAAACTTTATAAAAATTTCAATCTGAATCTTGAACCCGATGCAAAATATACTTCGCCC